TTAGCATTTCCTTTGCGTAATGATAAAGCGTATTAGAAAGCGTAGACGCGCCATGGATCACGCTCGGCAGCTGCTGCGAAATTTAATTGTATCATCGTGCCGTCTCGCCCGCCACCCTTGGAAGGAAGACAGAACAAGGATAAGATTGGGAGGAAGGCCGAAGAAGCTAAGAGAGAAGGACGCGCATCCGGGAGCCCGAATAAGCAGGTTGTATTATTTTATATCATTGCTCGTAACCGCTGTCGCATACGAAAGGAACCATACTTTCACCATGCACCCCTTGCAGAGTACCGGAGGAGGCCAGAATTCTCGGCCACCCTTGAGGGGCCGGACGGACGTCCGTCGGGAGTATAGGGCCCCGACGGGGAGCGAGAAGGAAATCCATCTCGATTTTCTCCGCCAGGCCAGGAAGTGCGGGGGCCGTGAGCAGAGACGCCACCCTTGACAGGAACATCCATTGCGCGCTCGTATGAGCCAGGATTCAAGGCCGCGCGGGCCTGCACGGCACGCGCGGATACCCTGACACGCGGAAGCCAATCAGCGTGACTACCTCCCCCCGTAAGAGGGGGGGGGGGCGCTAAGCAGCCTGCGAGCTCCCGGGCCTCACTCTTTCTGTGGACGAGCGAGCCGTGAGACTTGTGAGTGAAGTGCGAGCTCGCAGCCGAGAAGCCCAAGACTGAGAGGACGTGACGTGAAGGAGACGACGAGGGTGAGACGAGCGCTGCGCTTGTAAAGCTGCCGACCGGTGTACGTCGCCGGGTGGATCGCACGTAAGCCAGCTCGCACCGTAATGAGAGATCGGCATAATGGCCGCCGTGTAGAACCGCAGAACCGCGAGCCACGTGTCATCCTCCCGAGCCTTGGAAGTAATTAGCTGTCGCGTTTCGAGAGTCAGAGTAAGGGGAAGAATATTCATTGCCGAGTTGAAGTAAATTAGAGTCGTTCGGAGAGTTATCGAGGGCCGAGTCGCGCTCGTTTCTCTCGCCATAGGGAAGTCACTTCCGATTTCCGAGTAGAGTAGAGTCGCGTAGAGTAGTCGCGTTGTCGAGTCTCGTCGTGTCGTGTAAAGACGCTTATTGTAGTTGCGTTATCGTTTAGAATTGCGTCGCGTAGACACGCTTGCTATAATTGTGTCGCCGAGCGTTGTGCTGTCGCATCGGAGCGTATTGTCGCGTTGCCGAGTTAACTTCCGGTTGTGGTGTTACCGAGTAGAGTCCGTTTCCGGGATTCACGTTGTCGAGTAGAGTCGTGTCGCATAGAGGCGTTCGCTATAATCGCGTCGCACCATCGCCGTGGCG